GTTGGGGTCACCTGTCCCAGCTGTGTCCCCTCCCAACTTCTTGTGCACCCCCAGCCTGCTCTCGCTGGTGGGGTGGTGTGAGAAGCAGAAAAGGCCTTGACTCTGTGTCAGCCCTGCTCAGCAGTAATTAAAACATCCCTGTGTTATCAACACTGTTCTCAGCACAAATCCAAAACACAGCCCCATACCAGCTACTGTGGAGAAAATTAACTCTACCCCAGCCAAAACCAGCACAGGCATCAAAATGACTTGGGTTTGATTGGAAATGCCTGTAGAAATGTCAAGCTAGTGAGGGGCAGGTATGTGGAAGAAGAAAGGGTCCTCCCTCACATCTTGTAATTATTAAAAGGATAGGCATAACTGTTGTGGCACTTCCCTATGAATAGAACTATTACTCATATTTTCAACTTGAAGACATGGCAATAACAACTTAAAAAAATATATAAATGTAAGTGGTACATGCTAGGGAAGAGCTCAGCCTATGTTGTGGCACCTCACCTAATAAAATCAGAAATGCCATTTCATTCATTTTACTCCTGACTTTAGTTCATTTTACTTGGGAGGGCATGGCAATAACTAAATAAAAGACATGCATGAAAAAAATCTGTAGCATTTGTTAACACTTTTTTAAAAGTGTTTACTACTACTATTCATAAGGTTTTGCTGAAAAAGGCCTTGTAAAAATTGCTCATAAAGATTTTAAAGGCATTGTTTGAAGCAAATAACAGTCCTTCAACTTAGATAAGATATTTTTATCTGTGGAAGTCTCTGCAACAACACAATACCATCATGAGCTTCTTCAACAAGGTTAATTTATCAGAAAATGCAGCAAACTCAAAGGCTTAATTTCAAATTAGTCACTGATCTTTCTTCCAAATTCACATGTACTGTCTCTAACATGTTGTTTTCCTTCAGCTTACATGTATCTGATGGCTGTAGATTACAAGATGCATTTAATTTATTTTTGGAAATTAGATTACATTATCAGTAACCCACAGAGTGACACGTATTCCCTGGATATCACACTTGCTGTTTGACAGCATTAACAAAGATGGACATTTGCATAAAGGAAACTGTTTTTCATCACTTGCAAGCCACCACCATACTATATGGATAAAGAATTCATGCCACACTTGAATAGTAGCCACAGAGATAGAGAAGCACAGTAGCACAGACAAATAGCAACACAATCTTCTACTTATCCTGTGGGGGAAATAGCAAGAAGAGTGTATCTTTTTGTCTTATGCTTTTAATATAATCAACTGAGATAAGGTATAGGCAAATATGTTTAACCAGGACAAACAAGCATTGTCCAAATTACAGTCTACTCAGCACAAAAGAATAAAATACGAATAATTCTAAAACAAGTTAAAGTGAGTAACAATAGATTTCAGCTGAAAGACTGATTCCACTCACAATCAAAATCATACCAAACACACAGCAGACATTTCAAAAGCAACTGTAATTATAAACAAACAACCAGTTCAGCCTGTTACTTCAACATATTACACAAACCAATACTGCTAGTGCAACGTGGAGTTTTGAAACTGCAAAATACATCCCCAGCTTCATGGACCTCTGCCATGAAAGGATTTCTGAAAATCTGTAAGAAAAAACTATGTCCTTCTTTTTATAAAAGCTGATACACCAACAGAAATCAAACCAGGCTTTTGGGCATGCTACCTTTTTTGATGAATTCTCAAAACGGAGAGGGGGAGAGGTCACGCTGCAGAGAGTGGAACAAGAAATGCATGCCAGCCTGACGAGCCACTGCTAATGTGTGCACCAACAGAGAGGAGGCGCTGGACAGATTTGCCACACTGCTAGAGAGACACAATGCATTTGGTTGTTACACAAAATGCACCAGAAAGCCCTCTTAGGCTGTTTCTTCAACATGAAATTATTTGTTACAATGAGCTAATACGCTGCCTATTTAACAAACAGAAATGTTAGCACTAACAATAGTAACATTCTTATCTGAGCAAATTACAACTGATTGGCATTCGCCCATCTAAAGAGCCCAGTGCTGGGAGACTGATAAGCCATAAAGGCAGTCAGATCCATTTCATTTCCAAAGCATCAAGGCAAAGCACGAGCCGTTCATAAAACAATGTAAAGAAAATGAAGTCTCAGGACAGTTTTGCTCTGGAGTCCTACTGGGATCCCAGATTGGAAAGCAAACCGGTAAAGGAGCAGATGCACAAACCAGCACAATTTTAGATCCAAGGATTCTGAATTCAGGACAGACGTGTAATTTGCAGCACTGATTAAGACAGAATTCTACTAAAATTGAAAGTTTTTTGGGGAAAAAAATCATAAAAAAGGAGGCATTAGTTTTTCCACATATTGCTTAGTTTTTGCTTGCAACTACACCAAGTAGTCATCCAGTTATTTGTCCTTCATCGCCAAAACCACAGTAGTGAAATTGGAAACAATTCTAGGAAGATTCAGTAGAAGTGGTTAAAGATCAGGATACCATAAGAAATAGTTAACTGGGTGGGATATCAAGATAAATAGATCTTGCTTACTGCATGAGTGAAAGCTCAACATTAACACTTCACAAAGCTAATTTTACACATAGCATGTCTACAATTTGGATCCCATTTCCAAGGCGAGCCTCATTTTGTAAATTCCTGCACATTGCTGCTCTCTAGATCAATTTATATTTCTTGCCATTCTTCCAGCTGCTGTAGCTCTCATAACTTCGTATCATCTGCAGATGTAATTAATGTGCTTTCTATGTCCTCTTTCAGATCATTCAAGAAAACATTATGTAAAACAGTGAAGCACTAAACACTTCATTTATACAGAAAATGAGCAGATCTGCTAGAGGTCCCAGTGGACAACAGACTGACTGTGACTGATGTACTGCTCCCCTTCAATATCTGTTTTATTGTTTGTTGGGATTTTTTTTATTGTTGTTTTTTAAAGACACATGAAGATGACTATAGAATCATTTAGAAAATTGTGTTCCCTTAATCAGAAATCACACTCAGCACTTATCCATTAGACCAGTATTTTAAGTTTAGAAATAAAAACAAGAATTAGAAGCTTACGACAAAACTGTCATTTTCCCATCACCTCTCACCGTGCCCACCGTTTGTCTTTTACAGATGAAGAAAGAAGTGATCTCAACCATAAGACAGAAAATATTTTGGAAGTAAACTGAAAAGCTTCTCAAGTAATTTTTCTTTTCATTACTGATGTTTACACGATG